TATCTAGATTTTTTTTTTTTTTTGTTAAGTGCAAGATGACTATCACTTAACAACAAAATGACATGACTTGGGCTATATAAGAGGTGGCAAAGCTCCTTGGATATTTATTTTTTCGATCAGGCTTTATTTAAAAAAAAGAAAAAGCACAAACATCATACAAAGATTTAAACTTTACCTGAACAGGCACAATTATTTACAGTCATTTTATGAAGTCACAGAAAATTGTAGGAGCAGCTGAAAACAGTTGGCAGACAAGTAAAAATGGTATCTACATTCATGTCATATTAACATATTCATATTACTTCCATGGAAAACAAATTAGCACGTATGACCCATTAACTATTTGCTTTCTGCATTTGCTGTATCAAAAATATTCAAGTCCTACATCCATAATTCTGGTTTGTTCATAAATATTAAAATACTGTATTACTGTAGTAAAAACACATATATAAGCCTTTCTTGTTTAGCAGATGAAAAACAGAATAACCCTAGATCCAAAAGTACTAATAGTTTTTACAACATATAGTACAACTGCATGAAGAACAAAAAAGCTGGTAAAACTACAGTTTAAAGCTCTGCAATTCCCCGCTAACAATGTAAGATAACAGAAGCACCTAAAACAGTGCCCTTGAGATGCTGAATAGGCTAAACCCACCGAGACATACTTGTTCTGGAATAAGTATACACACACATGGAACTTACCTGATATAGCTAATTCACACCCTGCCTTATACATGAATACTTTCATATGCAGACAAACCATTCAGAAATAACCACCAAGGCTTTTTTTACAAAAGCTATCACTTCTAGTTAGAGAGAGGGAAACGCATCCATAAAATGCACTTCCAATACGCACATCATGTGTCCAAGAGACTATTACTGCACTTTCATAAAATTTGAAGAAATTAAAACTGCTTCTAGACCGCTAGTTAAATGGTAATGCTTCATAATATATCAAAAGCTTATTACAAAACGTATCCTATAGGATCCAACATAGTTATATTTTTTCTGAAAATCTTGTTCAAATCAGTTTTTATACTTCAGTTTGCTGGCTATTTCTATAGCATCAAAAAAAAAAAAAAAAAAAA